AAGAAAACATGTAAGTCGGGGAGTGGACCTAAAGAAAGGAGCTTTTTCTCGGCTTACTGAATAAACCAATAGACAATGAACTGACCAATGCAAAGTCAATGTGTCAGACTTCCTGAAAAAGTTGAGTTTCGGCATGAATGTAAGGATTTTGAGGAGTAGTAATGGAAAGAATTCAAGCCATTCTCTAGTTTCCTCGTCTAAATTGTAAGTGTGTGCAGCTCAGATCTCACCATAACAAAAGTGACCGTAATGGTCACGGAAAAGAAGCAGAAGTCTTAGTTTAGAATTTAGCAGACAGGTAATGTCCTAAACAACACACTCAAGACGATGTTAGCACCTTGATCACTTAACAGAGAAAATGGAATTTTTTAAAAGAGTGGTCGATATATCGTACGAATTCGTACGATTGGGCATTAAAGGGTTAAGCATTGTGATGTATGTATTCTAAAACATGCAATGGGTAGTTCCAGAAAATANAATTATATAGTAGATCAAATCGTATCAGATAGGGGATCAAATCATATCAGATAGGAGATCAAATCATATCAGATAAGAGATCAAATCATATCAGATAGGAGATCAAATCATAATAATAAATAATAATAACAAACTTTATTTAAACACGGTAGCTCTATCAACTTTACGCTGGTCTCCCTAGAGGCCGTACAAGAGAATTAAATTAAAAAAATATTACAAAGTTTAACTTTGGCTAATTTGGTTTCAATACAATAATAAAATTATCTATCTATAACTAATGTTGTCCACGCAAAAATCGTAATTTTTAATTTTGCGTTTAAACGCATGGAGAGATTCCTCCTCCTTAAGACTTTTTGGTAGCGAGTTCCAAAGTTTTGCGCCGGTATATGCGAAACTATTCTTTAGATGTTCCCCACGAACTTTAGGAAGTTGTAGGTTTTTAAATGAATTGCGTAGACTGTAATGGTTTGACCCCACCTCCTTTTGAAAAAGATCGACCAAGTAAGGAGGGGCCAAGCCATTAACAATTTTRAACATCATGACTGCCTTACTCACAAGTCTAGAAACACGCAAAGGCTTCCAGTTCAGGTCCCGGAAGACATCTCGTGTTCTGACTTTATCATAAGGAGCACTAGTGATTATTCTGGCAGCACGATTATGTAATTTTTGGAGTTTGTCTGCACGTTTTTGATCAATCCCATCCCATACTAGATTGCAATATTCGAAATAAGGATTGACCGTTGTAAAGAAAACCCTGAGCAGACACTCTCTGTTTAAAAATGGTTTGATTTTCTTTAAAACACTTAGGTTGCTTACAACCTTCTTGGTAATATGGGCAACGTGAGAGTCCCAAGTCAGATGTTGGTCTAAATGGACTCCCAAACATTTTACCGTGTCGGCTCTAGTTAAAGGAGTTCCATTAATGGAAAGCTCTAAGGAGTCTACGTCTATGGCATTAAGCCTCTGTCTTGAGCYAATTACCATATATTCTGACTTGAGTGTATTCAGTGTTAATTTGTTAGCCCGTAACCAAACTAGTATCAAACTAAGGTCGAGCTCCATTTGCCTTTCAAGGGTCTGAACCGTACAGTCGGAAAACGTTAGACTGGTGTCGTCAGCATAGAGTCTTGGGGTGCTATAATGTAGGCAGTTTGGCAGATCGTTGATAAAAATCAGAAAAAAAAAAAAATTATATCAGATAGGAGATCAGATCATATCAGATAGGAGATCAAATCATATCAGATAAGAGATCAAATCATATCAGATAGGAGATCAAATCATATCAGATAGGAGATCATATCATATCAGATAGGAGATCAGATCATATCAGATAGGAGATCAAATCATATCAGATAGGAGATCAAATCATATCAGATAGGAGATCAAATTAGGTCAAATCAGATTATTTAGAGAGATATATTTAATAGG